TAATTAACATATTTGACTTAGCTTTCTTAATTATCAAGTAGATTTTCACTTATGTGTACCTGAAATATCTGGAACAATTGTTAGTACTAAAGTAAGCAAACAAAACTGCTTGAAAAAAGTGAAGGAGACTTGAAGTACTTATTGAAGAAGGTCAAAAGACTATATATAGCCTTTGATGTGGATTACCTTAACATCAAGAAACCAAAAATTTTCACAACTAGACCAATAAGCAATATTTAATGATAAATGGAGAATGTATTGAGGTTACCAACCATTTAATCGTACTTAGTTCTAAAAACAATATCCATAGCAGTAACAGCCAAGAAATCAAAATGTGATAGTGGGCATCCTTGCATAGTTCCTGTTCTTAAAGGGAATGCCTTTAATCTCTCTCCATTGAGAACAATGTTGGCTCTCTGGTTAGTGTATGTACTTTTTACTATGTTGAAGTAATTAAACTCTAATCCTATTTTGTTGAGTGTTTTAATCAGGAAAGGGTGTTGAATTTTGCCAAAGGCCTTTTCTGCATCAATTGATAGGATCATGTAGTTCTTGTTCTTTGCTTTGTTAACGTGATGAATTACATTGATTATTTTTCTTATGTTGAACCATCCTTGCATACCTATTATGAATCCCACTTAGTCATGGTGAATGATTTCTTTAATGTATCGTCGTATCGTTGAATTGGCCAGTATTTTATTCGGGATTTTTGCATCACTATTCATGAGAGATATTGGCCTATAGTTTTCTATTTTGGTGGTGTCTTTGCCTGGCTGTGGTATCAAGGATATGCTTGCTTCATAGAATGAGTCTGGGAGAATTCCATCTTATTCTATTTTCTGAAATAGTTTATGTAGAATTGGTGACAGTTCTTCTCTGAATGTTTGGAAGAATTCACTTGTAAAGCCATCTGGTTCAGGGCTTTTTATGACTGGAAGTTGTTTTATTATCTTTTCAATTTCTTCTTTTATAATGGGTCTGTTCAGGTGTTCAATTTCAGTTGGTGTATGTTTAGGTAGGTTGTGTATTTCTAAGTATTAGTTCATTTCCTCTACGTTTTCATATTTGTTTGAGTATAGTTTTTCATAATATTCCTTGTTAGCCTTTTTATGTTAGTTGGTTCTGTTGCCTATTCATCTTTATTCAGATTACTTGTGTTTTTTCCTTCTTTCCTTTTTTAGTTTTGCTAGGCCATTGCCAATTTTATTGACCTTTTCAAAGAACCAACTCTTAGTTTTGTTGATTATTTTAATTGTTTTTCTGTTATCTATTTCATTTCTGCTCTAATTTTTATAATTTCAGTTTTTTTAGAGTGTCTTTCATTTTCTTGCTGTTTTTTTCCAATTTGTTGGAGATGTTGGGTTAGAGAGTCAATGGCCAATTTTTTCCTGCCTTTTGTTTACTTACTGTTATAAATTGACCTCTGATTACTGCTTTGGCTGTTTCCCAGAGGTTTTGGTAAGTGGTGGTTTCATTGTCATTTGTTTCAAGAAACTTTTTCATTACATTTTTTATTTCTTCTAATACCAACTCATGTTAAAGCAAGGTGTTGTTTTTCCCTAACACCCACTCATGTTAAAGCATTGTTCAGCTTCCAAATGTATGGGGTTTTTGTTCTCCTTTATTGTCTTGCTATTAATTTCTAATTTTGCAGCATTGTGGTGTGAGAGATGCTTTGTATTATTTCTATGTTTTTTAAATTTATTGATGCTTGCCTTGTGACCTAAAAAGGGAAGTAACAGACTGGGAAAAATATTTGGCAATTACATGTCCGATAAGGGACTTATATTTAGAATTTATAGAATACTTGAGCACCACCACAAGATAAAAGTAAACAACCCAATTGAAAAACAGGCACAGGACGTGAAAAGACACTTCATCAAAGAAAACATTCAGATGGCAAACAAACACATGAATAAGTGTTAAAAATCCCTAGCTCTAAGACAGATGCAAATCAAAACAACTATGAGATATCATCTCACCCCAGTAAGAATAGCAAAATTCAACAGAGCAGCAGACAACAAATGCTGGTGAGGTTGTGGAGAAACTGGAACCCTTATTCACTGTTGGTGGGAGTGTAAAATGGTGCAACCACTTTGGAAGGCTGCTTGGCTCTTTCTTAAAAGTTTGCAAATAGAAATACCATATGACCTAGCAATTCCACTTCTGGGAATAGACCCTTAAGAAACCAGAACTGAAAAAAAAAAAGAAACCAGAACTGCCACTCAAGCAGATATATGCACATCCATGTTTATTGTGGCTTTGTTTACTATAGAAAGGAGTTGGAAACAATCCAAGTACCCATCCACCAAATAAATAAATAAAAAATAGAGAAGCTGTAGTATATTCACACCATGGAATACTATGCTGCATTAAAAAACAAGGAACTCATGAAATATTATACAAAATGGGTGACTCTGAAAGGATCTATTCAAAGAAAATTACAAAATGTTACTGAAACAGATGAGGGGGAGAATAATTTAAAAGCGATGTATGATAGGGTATTACAGTTATTACAAGAGTCCACAATTAAGATTGCATAGTGGAATGTACTTGGGGCTATGGGAGGGGTGCAGGTGGGGGGATAGTGTACCAGGGAAGGAGTGTTTCTTTTACTTTTCAAAGAGAGGAGCGAACTGGGGAGGGGGGGAGGTCTGGGAGGGGAAAGAATTGCAGCAATGAATGAATGGAAATCCAAAATCTCTGTAAATGTTCATTAAAATTATTAAAATTTTTTAAAAGAAGCAAAAAAAAAAAGAAAGAAAAAGAGATGTGGAGAAAGTGGAAGAATATCCCTTGCTCATGGATAGGAAGACTCAATATTGTGAAAATTACAATATTACCAAAGGCAATTTACACATTCAATGCAATCCCAATAAAAATGCCAATTCCATTCTTCAATGAAATTGAAAAAGCTATCTCCAATTTCATTTGGAATGGAAAGAGGCCCTGAATAAGCAACGTACTCCTTAAAAAGAGATTAAAGTAGGAGGCATATCACTCCCTGATTTCAAATCTTACTACATTGCTATGGTGGTCAAGACAGCTTGGTACTGGTACAATGACAGACACATAGATCAATGGAATAGAATTGAGAATCCATAAATCAGTCCATTTACCTATGGTCAACTGATTTTTTACAAGGAGATGACATTAGTCAAGTGGGGAAATTACAACCTTTTTAACAAATGGTGTTGGCAAAATTGGAAAACTATCTGCAGAAAACTCAAGCAAGATCCATTCCTCACTCCATACACAAAAACCAACTCAAAGTGGATTATGGACCTAGGACTAAAACCAAGGACTATAAACTTCATTAAAGAAAAGCTTGGAAGAACCCTAGAAGTCCTAAGTCACAACTTAACCAGTCTTCCAAATATCTTGGAAAATCTACAACCAGGAGAAGATAAAATAGATGAATGAGACCTTCTATGAATCAAATTCTTATGCACATACAAAAACTTCTCCAACAGGGTAAAAAGGGAAGCCACAGACTTGGAAAAAATATTTGGTAACGACATGTCAGACAAAGGACTTATATCTAAAATTTATCAAATACTCGGGCACCACAAGATAAAGGGAAATAACCCAACTGAAAAATGGGCACAGGATATGAACAGACACTTCATCAGAGAAGACATTCAGATGGCAAACAAACACATGAAGAAGTGTTAAAAGTCCCTAGCTCTAACAGAGATGCAAATCAAAACAACTATGAGGTATCATCTCACCTGAGTAAGAACAGCAAAATTTAACAGAACAGCAAACAACAAATACTGGCGAGGTTGTGGAGAAACTGAAACCCTTATTCACTGTTGGTGGGAGTGCAAAAGGGTGCAACCACTTTGGAAGGCTGTATGGTGCTTTCTTAAAAGTTTGCAAATAGAAATACCATTTGACCCAGCAATTCCATTTCTGGAAATTTACCCGAAAGAAACCATAACCACCACTCAAGAAGATATATGCACACCCATGTTTTTGTGGCTTTGTTTACAATAGCAAAGCGTTGGAAACAACCCAAGTGCCCATCAACAAACAAACAAACAAACAAACACAGAAGCACTAGGTCAACTGAGCTCTCTCTATGAACAGTTCTCCTCTGTCACGTGGAGAAACCATGGGTCAAAAACGACTCAGCAGCACCCAATAACAACCATTACTGATTGTACATTGTGACTATAGTGGTTAAATAAAATAATCTGTGGTCAGGACTGTGGCAGGAGCTCAGGGAGTTCTGGTGGTTTAGTGGTAAGGAAGTGCTCACCAACGCGAAGGTATGCGGTTTGAATCCATCAGCTGCTCTGCAAGAGAAAAAATGCGCAATCTTCTTCCCTGAAAGTTACTGCCTCTGAAAGGCCACTGGAGCGTCAGCTATGTTTCAGTTCTGACTTCACGGTACACAACAACAACAACCCACTCTCTGACCCATAATTACAGAAAGGAGCCCTGGTGGTGCAGTGGTTAAGTGTTAGACTGCTAACTCAAAGGTTGGTAGTCTAACCCACCAAGATGCCTCAGGGAGAGGCGACTTGGCTTCTGCTTTGGTAAAGACAGCGTGGGACACTCTGTGGGGCAGTTCTACTGTCACATAGGGTCCTTGTGAGTCAGAAGCTACTTGACAATGCCAACATACTTAGAGAGATTAAGATTTCCTACCCATGGTGCTACCAGCAAACACAGAGTGGAAAGGTGAGCGTGGGGCTAGAGGTGGAGGGCTGGCTGAGCAAAAGAGCTTGCCTGATTTCTCCTCCCTTCACCTACACCCTCGCCGCCCAGGCCCTTTTAATTGGCCTCCAGGTGTAGTCTTGGGCGGCACTGGGAGCTCCCATCGCCTAAGGGATGAGGCGAGGGCGGTCAACCGGCCTCACCTGAAAGACCCTTCTGCTTTCTGGCCGTCTGTCCTGGTGCAGCCAGCGTGGACCTCGTGTCCTAGCCAGCGGGGGACAGCCTCGGGGTGCAGGGTGCAGTCAACCTTCCAGCCCAAATCTGCTTCGCTCTCTGCGCTGCCACACCTCCCCGCGCCCTGCAAGGGTTAAGGCGGCGGAGGCGAGAGGTTTGGGCGTCTGACGTCGTTCTGGCTGAAGGTGGTTCCCCTCGGATGAGGATGCGAGAGAGCGGCGAGCTGAAACCCGAGCTCCCGCTCAGCTGGGGCTTGGGGAGGTCCCTGTAAGGGCCGCCTGCCCCTTCCTCCCCGTCCCTCCTCTGCCTCGCCTGCAGTCACAGCCGCGGGGAAGATGGAGCTGGGCTGGTGGGCGCAGCTGGGACTCACTTTCCTGCAGCTCCTCCTCATCTCGTCCTTGCCGAGAGGTACTGTGGTCAGGGTCAGGACACCCCAGGAGGGCGCATCTCCTTCTGGGGGTTCTGGCGGGGGAGCAGGAGTGGGGGAGATTCAACAGTGTGCCCGAAAGTGGAGGTCAGGGACTTCTGAGGACGGTGGGCTTGGTGGTGGGGTAGGGGGGTGCTGGACCGCCTATCACTCTCCCTAAGAATAAGGCTTTGTCCTCTCAACTGCGACCCTCAACTGCCTCAGGCGGCGGGTACCAGCTCCAGTTTCACTTGCTCTTGATTATTAGTTTCCAAAGCTCCAAATTCTTGGGCACATCAGTTACAGTCTGAGTTCTCAGCTTTGACTGCCACAAGCTAAGTTTTCCCTGGAAAGAGCTCCCTCAGAGGTGAGCAGGGGAGAAAAGAGGGAAGAGAAGAAAGGCGTAAGGAGCGGGGTTTGCATCCAGCGGAGTCCGCACTTGATGGGGAGTTCTTTCTCCTAGTGAGACTTGAAATCTGAGTCCCAAACCTTGTGAACAGATCCCCAGCAGAGAAGCATCACCCCCTCAGCAGACATGCACTTCCTTTTTGATAAGGATGAGAAAGGAGCAGCAGCTGGAGAGGTTAAAAGTGCAAGTTGTTCTGGGATGCTCAGCATCTGTTTGGGGGGGAAAAGCTTTCTTTTTCACATGCCATTTTCTGAGCCACCCACCCCCTGTCAAAAGGGCCCCTGGGAGCAGAATGAGGCTGAGACAGGACCCACAGTTCCGGGGAGCCTCTTGACTCAGCCAAGGACTTGTTTTACTGTCCACAGACAGGCAAGAAAGTGGGAGACTTCTTCAGAGCATTTGTCTTTATATGCCTGGAGGGGTGAGAGGAATCCTTCCGAGGCAGGCTGGGTTGAAATGCCCAGAATTGACAAAAGCAAGCAGTATTGTTTTCACTTCTGTGCTGCTTACTTGTCACCTGAGGGCTACCTGAGCTGTGGGTTCTCCATTGTGCAAGGAGCTGCCAGTTGCCTGTGGGTAAAACAGGGTAAGTGGGGTAAGGAGAATGCTAAACACAATATGCAATTCTGTGTTGATGTTGTTGTTATAATATCTAGTTAGAATTAATTAATAGCTGACCCTCCAGTGGGTGTTCTGAGACTGTAAATCACACAGAAGGAGATTGTCCTTTTTCTCCCAGAGCGACTGGTGAATTCGAACCACTTGCCGTTGGGTTAACAGTGCAAGTCCTTCCCACTAGGCCACCAGAGTTCCCTATCCAATTCTATAGGAGGGTAACTGTAGCCATACACCACATTCCTTCATGATCTGGGATACACATAACCCACCTGTTCCTGTCAGTGCTCTCCCCACTATGTAGAGCTTACTTCAGAGTTCTGGTAGCCTAGTGGTAAGAAGCTGTACTGCAATATCAAGGACCTTCAGCTCACGGAAAAGAACGGACAGTCTCCTCCTGTGTGATTTCAGCCTCCGAAAATCCGTTGGAGGGTCAGCTGAGGGTTTGTTCTGACACAATGGTACACAACAACAACAATAGAGCTTGCCTCCTGAGTGGTATAAATGATTAACAAATTGGCTCTTAACGGAAAAAGGTTGGTGGTTCGAGTTCACCTAGAGATTTCTTGGCAGATCTACTTCAGAGAAATCAGCATTGAAAACTTGGCCATGCTTGAGCTCACCAGGAGTTGAGATTGGCTTGATGGCAACTGGTTGGTGAAACAGCCTGCTTGCACCACGTGAAATTCTCCTTAGTGATCTACTCTTAAAACAGCAAGAGTATTTCTTTTGAATTTTGCCTCAGTTGCATGAAGAGCCACTCAAGATAATAATGAAGGGAAGAGTCCAAGAGAGTTTGATAAACCAGAGAAAAATGCCTAGCTCAGGAGTCATACTATTGCCCTAAATTTAACACCACAGTCCTTTCTGCTTCTTCTCTGCCTTTTAGACCCAAACCTCCAGGATGGGTGGCCTTTGCCCAACTCCAGAGAATTCCAGTTCCTTCCATAAGCACCAGTGCCCGGTGGATTATTTTCCTTCTCATAGTTGCATGAGCCACACCCTGCTTCCTTTTTACAATGTGGCAGGTGAAGTGGCCCAAACTCATAAATCCAATAACACAGTACAGCTGCCTTTTTTGACTTATGCTGGGTCTGAAAAATCCATTTATGCCTGTCCTAAGACTCCCTTTTACCTTTTCCTATGGAAAAGCCTCAGAGAATCCATAATAGAGAAGCCACAGTTGCTTACTGGACTAGAGGGAGAGGGAAGCTTCACGTGTTTAGCACAAGGTTCATTCCAGTTAGACCGCCCTGCAGCCCCTGATGACGCTTCCACTGGAGACAGACTGAAGCAGCATCTGCACTTGAACAAGATCACTGGGTGAATTTTACTCTACAAAGAATTGTAGAGGAAAGGTGGGGGAGCAGTGCAGGGAAGGAAAATATTTCAAGTCGCAAACACGTCCACTCTCCACTGGAATTGTGAGTCTGACTCTGTCAAGAAAAGCTTAGAGGCATGTGTCCTCTGTCTCATTACTGGTTTTTTGTTTGTTTGTTTTGTTTTAAAGGAGTTTATGAAATGTAAACATCCACTGGGATGCGACAGGAGGCTTGTGCTTGGTAGCATATGATGCATGTTGGGGGGACAAGAATCTAACATTAGGCCAAATGATAACCCAACATAAATAGCATGTGAGGGAGAAACCCAACTCCCCTGACCTCACCGCATAGCTGTAGCGCTGCCAGCGTGAATCCACCAGAGAGGAAAACCTCATTTAAAATATGCTGCTCCTGGGAATGCAACCTTAATATGGATAACTTCACAAGTGCTGCTTCCAACAGACATTAGCTTGTGGGGGATGAACAATAAAACAACTGGGGACAATAATTTGAAGCACAGACCTTCAGTGGGCACAGACAGTGTGCTGAGAAAGGCGCTGTGGAAAGAGAGTGAGGGGGAAGGAGTGACAAGAAAAATTAGCTGCTTGTTTATAATGGGACGTGCTAGCAAGCTCTGAGGAGGGAGCCATGAAAATTGGGCCTTCTTGGCAGCGGTGGGTTTTTGTGGTGATCATGAAGAGGGAGTTCCCCTAATATATACTCTGAGAGCTTCTGTCTTCTCCAACGGGAAAATAATTTGATGGTGAAGTCATGGCCTTTTGAAGGTTGGGAGGGACTTTGGAGGCCATTTCGTTTGAATCCCTCAACTTCAGTTAAAAAATCTAGCAAACTTTTAGTCACTGGTCTGAACACTTTTGTTATTGTTGTTAGGTGCTGTAGAGTCCTCTGTACAACTCAGAGACCTTGTGAACACCGGACCTAAACCCTGTCCTGTCCTGTGCCCTCATCACCACCTCCGACACACTGAACCTTTTGCTGTGGTCACTGTGTCAATGCATCTCATTGAGGGTCTTCATCTCTTTTGCAGACTCCCCACCTTTCTAAGCATGATGTCCCTTTCCAAGGAATAGCGTCTCCTAGCAACATGTCCAAAGTATGAGAGATGAAGCTTCGCCATCTTTGCCTCCAAGGATCACTGGCTGTACCTTTCCCAAGACATCCCTGTTTGTTCTTCTGGCAGTCCATTACGTACATTAATTCTCAGGCCCCTCTCGTAAGGTGGATGTTGGATGCCTCTGAGTTGATGTTGAATCGTGTCAAGGCAGCATAACAGCACATAACTGCCCCATGGGGTTTTCCAGGATGTAATCTTTACAATAACTGATGGCCAGGCCTTTCTTTTATGGAGCTGCTGGGTGGGTTCAAACCTCCAACCTTTTCATTAGCAGCCTCATTGAAAGACTCAGTGGCACACTCCAAAAAGATAGGTGCTACTATGGCCCTTTGAGGTTCAGTGATTTGTTCAAGGTTGTACAGACTGGTTAGTAAAACCTGGAGCGAGCCTGGAGCGTGTAATTCCTGAGCCTAAGCTCACCTGCCACTTAGCTGACATAAAGTCATGCATATAATAGTCTCCTTGATGATGCTGGCACACATCCAGTCTTGGTGTAACTTCAAGACACACATTGGGAGGGGACAGAGAGGACTTGCTCGCCCCAGGTTTGGTACCACTATTGACCCAGTGGCAGCTTGCAGTGGCAAAGAGGGAGGGTATAGAGCTAAAGACTGCAAATGAACAGCCTTTGAGCCAAAAGACCTTCAAAAGTAGTGTTGTTGTTAGGTGCCTTCAAGGCCACTTGGCCCAGCAACCTTATGAACAACAGATCCAACCACTGGTTGATCCTGTGCCTTCCTCACAGTCTCTGCCATGCTCAAGTCCATTGCTGTAGTCAGCATGTCCATTCAAGTCAGTGAGGGTCTTCCTCTCGTTTGCTCTCCTTGGCTTTCCCAAGCAGCATTTAGCGAGGCTTGGATAATAACAAGGCACTCTGGTGGTGCAGTCTGTAGGGAAGCTGCACTGCTAACCCAACGGCGATGGCTCCCTGGTGGTTGAAATCTCTCAGGCACTCATCAAGAGAAAGGTGAGTAATCTCCACCCACGTGAGGCGCACCCTCCCGAAAACCTCCTGGAGGGTTAGCTATGGGTTGGTTCTGACTAGACTACAGTGAATTTAAGACTTACTCATTTTTTTTGACTGCTGTTTGAAACTTTGAATTCCATTGCTTGAGAGGTGGGAGCAGAAAGGGAAACAGAAAGCAAAGATAGAAGGCTAATTAATGCTGGGTGGGAGAAATGCAGCGAGTCCAGCTTCTAAGGAATGATTGGCTGGAGATTGTTGCAAAGCAGGACATGGTTAGGTATTATTGTCATGACAGGAGTCCAGAATGAAGGCTGAACAGTGGAGTGGACTTGGGGGGAGGGATTGTATAACAGTGAAAGCATTTTACTTTTCAAAGAGAAGCGCGAAGTGGGGAGTAGGAGTGGACTGGGAGAAAAGTACAACAATGAATGAATGGAAACCCTAAGTCTCTGTAAACTTTCATTAAAATTAATTTTAAAAAAAGCAAAGCAGGACATCTACTACATTTTAAGTTATTCATCTTATGGGAAACATTCTTCTAGGTCATGTAACCC